CGTTGGAAAACTGGTATACAGTTGTTTATCAATCACATATGCTTTGACATAGTTCAGGTTGGCCCTAGACATTTTTGTAGTCTGAATATAACTTGAGTACGGTTGAAGTTATAAAATTGATTAATTTGGACAAATTGAAGAGAATTAAATTTGCTTCAACTTTCTCTAACACCTTTTTGCGATAAAACACCATCTTTCATCTAAAATTTTCAGTTAAAAACAAAATTTGTATAACCTTTGACTCCATGAGTCTGTGTCAATTAGTGTGTATGTATGTATGTTTGTATACATATATTTATTATTCGCGTGTTTCGACATATTGACACGTCACAGTAGATAACGAGCGACAGCATGACATAACCGTTCGTGTCATTGTGTCATTAGAATGACATGTGTCATTAATCAACTCGCTAATATATGGAAATTCTAATAACAATGCTCGGACGTTCATATATCATTCGCGAGATGGTTGTGTTGATTTTGAAAGTGATTTTGGGCCGGAAAAAGTTTGGGAAGGTATTGCTGATTAAGGGAAAATTCTTGGTAATTTAATTCTTTATAAATTTTCTGAATAATCTAATTTTGTAGCTCTTACTTTTCACAAGTTATAGTCAAAAAACTACAACAAGGGTGTCCAACGCAATCCTCAATTGTACGCGTCTAAATGTTTAGCAAATTTTATTTTACATGGAATGTCATTTTATTTTTGTATAATTTCATGAAAAACAGTATTTAGTTATCTGCAACCGTTCAAAAGTTATAGATGAAATACTGCATAAGTGTATCATAGGGCCAGAAACTGTGGTGTGACAAAAACAAATAGCAGTTTTGAATATAAATATTCATTTGGCAAATGTTTGTTGTATGACAAAGTTATAGATAATTCATTTATCTTTAATTTTGTTGAAGATAGTATTCGATTATCTATCGTAGTTTTTAAGATACAGTTGAAATACTGCATAGTTGCTTGTTGGCCCTTGGACGACGATCTGATATCAAAGTGAATTTTGTTGGAAAATTCTGTACGTACAATTTTCTTTTTTTTAACAATTTTTGCAAAATATTTTGAAAACAGTTGAAGACAACTTGATGGTATATTTGGCAAAGATAAAGAGCCATATGTAAATTGGCAATAAAAAATAATTTTAGCCTTCAAACTTGTCCATCAATAAAATAATCTCACGATCATTAGTCTTATAATTTTTTTATTTTTAAAGGTGTTAAAAGGAACTCGACTGCCAATCAAATCAATCAATTATCGATTATTAATTTTAATATTTTATATCACATTTATGTTAGTACGGAACCTTTATAAATAGTTTTATAGATTTGAATATCTTGAATGAAATCCGAAGACGATATGCGTAGACTAGGTGTTTGACTGAATCCAATTATCTTATGATATTGGTAAAGCCCTTTGAGGACTTCTACGGCATTAAAAAAAAGTTTAGGGTAACAAAGTATTTGGGGAAAATGGAGATTTTTCATTTGGCTTTGTTTTTTGCTATTATTGTTTGAAATTTGGTGGCAGCGGTTGGGAGTTATAGGGAAAAATGTGGAAAATAACGTTTTAAGGAGATGTAAGGAGAATGTGGATATTTGATTGTAGATTTGAAGCTAAAAATTTGTTTTTACAATATTCATTTAAATGACAAAGTTGCAGATATTTAAGCTGATTATTTTGCACAAATAGTTTAAGAGATGTATAGGGCCAACTCTTTCAGACGAAAACATAGCGTTGTTATGGCAACGCTATCTTGTTCATCTTTCTTGGTATTAAAATCTATGAAAATGCTATTTGTTTACAGTTTTTAGTACCAAGAAAGAAGGATAAGGTAGTGTTGCCATGACAACGCCATGTTATCGGCTAGGTTACTAACTAAAACAAAGAGTTTGTAAATTGTTAAAGGAGCAATATATGATTTACTATCTAATTTTTTATGAATGCGCAGTTTTGATGAATGAAATTTGAATTTATGTCAAAGCCATGTGGTCACTGTGCAGTCAGGCGTTTTTTCAGGTTGTCAGATAGAAAACCTAACCTAGAAACCGCACAAATGTCGAAAAACGATCTTCGAACGAGATAATAGGGTCTTTCTGACATAGCTTCATAACATACAAGAACGTTGCAGTTCATGTGTAAAAGGCCTGAATGTACAGCAAATACATGACATTTTGACAGTATTCAGTATGATTCAGTAGCATAATGTATGAAAGTTGGAGCGTAATATGCCTTTGCCATAACATTGGTCTGTTGTGCGGGAGAATTGGCTCACAAGAGTTGATACTCTTTACTTACAGGAGAATTATCCAAAACGTTAAAAAATATCACAAATATCAAAAAGACTTTGTTCAACTTATGATGCAATTTTGATGCATGAATTTTTAATCTACCTCAAAGTTATGTAAGAGGATGTTGTAGGCAATTCAATTCTCCCCATATCCCCCAAAGCCACCATCCACGTACCTACAACCCTTTCCTTTTCAGCTACACATAAATTTCTAAAAACCGTGTCTGGTCCATAAGGTCTCTTCCATCTCTCCATCCCTTTCTCTCTCCTCTTCTCTCTCTCTCGATCGTCCGTCGTCGGCGAAGATGAAAGAGTTCCGTGTCGGTCAATTCGCTTTGAAGTGTTCCCTTTGTGTGGCGCGATGCCGACGGTCGGAACGCGTAAAAAAAATCAACACTCGGTAAAAAGAATACGGTAACAAGTCGAAAAAACAACAAAAACCACAATAATCTACCGCAGCACACCACTACGGGGGAAAAGGAAAAAGAGATGGGTAGTAAAGGACCGAAAGATGGAGAGAAAAGGAGAGGGAGGTGGATAGAAAAGGACAGGGCAATAATCTCGAACGCACACCACTACAGTGGAAAAGGAGAGAATGATAGGTAGAAGAAGATAGGACTATAATCTCGATCTCACACTACTACAGTGGAAAAGGAGAAAGAGAGACATAGAGAAGGTTTGGACAATAATCTCGACCGTACACCACTACAGTGGAAAAGGACAGAGAGAAAGATAGAAAGGATTAGTGATGTTTCGGAAAAGAGACAGGGTTATGGCTAGAGTGTTGGTGTGAGTGAGAAGACGATATTAATGAGTTGTTGCAATTAATGTTTTGACACGATAGTGTTGTCAAACTGTTATTGTTGATGTTGAGTGTGTCTGACTGTATTTCTGTTAAAGACAATTTAAGATTTTTTCCATAGATTTTGCATTTTAACTTTTTTTTAACGTTTTTAACGTTTTTTTAACGTTTTTCATAAGGTTGTCATAGCTACTCGCTCCCACGTGCATTTTTAACTTCCCTTAGGGCAAGTTCTAGTAATCACAAAAAAAGCGAAAATGATAATTTTTATATATCTTTACGTTTCAAAGGTTTTTAAACATTTTGGCATACCTTAGAAAAAATGGATTTGTGTGTGTGTATGTGCGGATACAAATTTTCGTCGACGATTTCGGGAACACTGATCAACCGATTTGAATAATTAAAAAAACATTCGATTCGTATTGATAAGGAGATGTACTGATTAGTTATTGGCAAATGCGAGTCTAACTGTTCCGAAAATATGGGGCAAAAAGTGCCAAAAACGGTAACTTAGTTTTTAAAAGAACGGTGTGTCCGATTTGAATAATTCAAAAAACATTTTACTTCTATTAACAAGATGGAGAACTGATCAAATTTTCATGAAGGTCTAGCGGTTTCGGAGATCTAGTAAAAAAAGTAAAAAAAAATGCCATCTGGCGGTCAAAAATGATCAATAGACATATGCACATCAAATTATCAGATATTTTATAGAGATTTTAACAATAAGTATAAATTTTGTTTACATTCTTATGCGTTCCGTACCAGTGTTTATCTGTTAGACGGCGACGCGGCGCTTACGCGCTTCGATATTTCGTCTCTATGCAGTTAAAGCAGTACGATTGCTTTGAAAAAAAGTTCAGAATTTCCAAAATACTTCAAAATAAATTTTTCTTCAAAAAGTCTTTTTTTTTTCAAAAAAAGTAAGTTTTTGTCAAAAATTTATAGTTTCTCAAAAATCTAATTTTTTTAGAGTAAATTTTTTTCAAAAATGTTAATCTTTTTGAAAAAATAATTTTTGGTACGGGAAGTTCCAGCAATTTGACTTAAGGCACGATGCCATGCGCCCCACTAGTTGTGTTTTTTTTTGTAACTTGGAAACTGTTTAAGAAAAGTTCATACTGTCTTTGACAAAACTAAAGCTCATGAAATTGCTTAGAAATCTCTCATATACAGTTCTTGTATAAAGCCATGCTTTATATTTTTTCATTGCACTTGAAACTTAGATTTAAGACCTCTGACATGATGTCTTACTTGTTGTTTTTTATTGTGACTTAAAAACTATCCAAGAAAACTATGCACTATATTTGGGAAAAATATAGTTTATATAATTTGCTATAAATTTCTCATACACAACTTTTGCCTAAAGCCACATCTTATATTTTTAAATTGCAATAGAATTTCTGATTTTTGAGGTCCTACATAATACTTGTATGTTGTTACCAGGTTATTCTTGTTGTAACTTGGTAACAATATAATTAAAGTATACACTGTCTTTGGCACTAATTTAGTTTAGCACAAATCTTTTATATACAACTTTTGACTCACTTCATGTTTTATATTTTTAAATTGCTGTCGAAGTTCAGCCTTTTGAGGTCTGACATGGTCAATATAATTCCAGATTTAATGATATCTCTCATGTTCTATTTGCAATTTTTTGTTATAACTTGTAAACGATTTGAGAAACTATGACTGTTTTGGTAAAAATATAGCCAATTAAATTGCCTACAAATCTCTCATACACAATATATTTCTTGACTTATTGACTTGTGACTGATAACAGCATGTAAAGTCGAACAAAATATCCACTATACATATTTACCCTTATTTCTTTACACAAATTTTATAACAATACTTAATAAAATTTACTATTTAATTCTTTTAACTAATATCTTATTTCTTTTTTCCAGATCCCCAAAGTCACCTCAACCTCTTCAACAACCGCCCGCAGCCAAAAAAGAAGCGAAAATCGCGAACGGCCTTCACCAACCACCAAATATTCGAATTAGAAAAACGATTCCTTTACCAAAAATACCTCTCGCCGGCCGACAGGGACGAAATAGCGTCAGGTTTGGGCCTTAGCAACGCCCAGGTCATAACCTGGTTCCAGAATCGAAGGGCCAAATTGAAAAGGGACATGGAAGAATTGAAAAAGGACGTGGAAAGTGCTAAGGTCCTGTCGGCGCATAAGACTTTCTTGGAGAATGTTACGGATTTGGGGATTTTGAAGAAGAAACCGGTGGGCCAAGGGCCGAGTGGCATGGATGAGTGTCCTACGAATTTAGTGATGAACAAATAGGAAGGAGAAAAATATTTTGCCAACGGTGGTTATAAATAGTTTGGGGCATTTCCTGTATTCCCAAGGGCCAAGGGTTTTGTGTTCTTCGAATTTGATATTATATAAATGAAAATTCCACTTAAAAACTGCAAACTATGTCATATTGGTTATTCCAAACGCTTTAGTTCAGAATTGATCGAAGTTGGGTCAATAACCAAGAACCAATTGTGACTTTTTCAAGATCTTCAAGATATCGATGGCCAAAGGGTCAAAGTATCTATATTGTACTTTCAAAATAGAAATGCAAAGAATTAATACAGGCAAAATACATGTATATATTTCTTCAATGATTGTTATAAACGATTTTGAACGTTTAAGTGTGTCTTGTCTACAGAAGAGCCAAGGGCCAAGTGTTCTTAGAACTTGGTATTAAATAAATTAAAAGTTTATTACAAGTTTTTGTCAAAAACCGTGTGGCCCTAGTGCTACTGCTTCATTTTAGACCAAGGCTTTAAGGGCCACACGTATGTTGATTCAAACTAAACCACAATTTGTGATTTTTGAAGGAACGTGTACATCTAAAAGTTCTAACTCGATAAATGAACAATTGAGTATGTCCTACTTGTTGAACTTGCCAAAGGCCAAGGGCCAAATGGGTGTCGTACTTAACGAAATCTCAAGAAAAAATGCAATTTTATTGATGCTATTGTTAATTACCAAGGGCCAAGTGCCAAAAGTGGAGTGACTTGACTGTGTGTCTTTTTGAATTTTGATCATCAACAAATAAATGACGGCCAGTGTGTTGAATTATTATGAAATAAATTGTACTAGCAGTTTTAAACGTTTTTGGGCATTTGGTGTTAATGAAGGTCAAGGGCCAAGTGTCAAAATAACCAAAAAATCGATTTCAATTTTTTCAATAAAAGACACTTTAATAAATAAATCCCACTTCTGAGTATATTTTCTAAAAATATAGAATTTGATGTAGCGTCATCTTAACTACCAAATTGACGCGTTTTAAAATTTTGACGCCAATCGAAATTTAATTAAAATTAAAAGAAAGTAGTAACATCTTTGTTTGTATATATATATATTTATAAATATTTATATATAAGAACTGTAAATATAGCATTTTTAGTGTCGTTAGATTTTTATATGTTGTATTAAATACCCAAATTTATATATATATATATATATATATATATATATATATATATATATAATAGTACTTAATGTTGTCTTTGTGATCCTATATATAAAACTAGTTTAAATAATAATTTTAATTAAGAAAAACTAAAAAACGTATATAATATAACCAAATGAAGCTTGATGATGACTATAAGATTTTATCGAAACGTTTTGACATCGTCTCTATTAAAAATTAAGGTGTAAATAGCTTAAAAAAGTTGTAAAAATAATAAACGGTTACTTCATGTCTTAAACATCAATTTTTATACGGAACCATAACTGACACTTTGATGTGTCATAAAATATTTTTGTCAAGTATTGGGTCATAAATGTGACTGAAAATCAATGTGCGCAAGTTGTGACATAAATTCGTAATTTGTTTGTTTATTTATGGCCAATATGTCATGACACTTGTCATAATGACACTTATCTGTCATATATTGTATATATAAAAAAAATTAAACAAAATTTGACAACAATTTATATAAACATAACTATATGACATTTTTAATTTTATAACATATATGTTATGACACATGTCAAAATAGTATTTCAAAGTTCAATTTAACATGCTACAAAAATTAGCTTATGACATTTTAGAATTTATGACTTTTTATGTGTCATGACACATGCCATTATTACACTTTTTGGTCTTATAATATTTATATAAATACTTGAATACAATCGGTCAACAGCAATTACTATAAAAATACCTTTATGACATATAACATTTATAATTTCATGACTCTGACAGATGTAAAAATGATATTTATCGGGATAATAATACAAAATTAATTTTATGACTTTTATATATAATAATGATAATGAACATTTAATTTATCAATTTATGGTTGAAATATGTCACGACACTTGTAAAACTGACACTTATCTGTCATATATATTGTAAACAAAAATTAACAACAATTTTGATAAATATAACTATATGACGTTTCTAATTATTATAACATATATGTCATGACACGTGTCAGAATAACATTTTATAAATGTGATGACAAATGTTACAATGACACATATCGGTCATATATTACACATATAAATATGTCAGTTCAATTTAATAAACTGTAAAAATATGCTTGACATTTTTGAATTTATGACTTTTTATATGTAATGACATATGTCATAGTGACACTTTTTGGTCATATAATTTTTATAAATATACTTAATATATAAATTTTTATTTATGGCTGAAATAGTTCATGACACGTGTCAAATTGACACTTATCGGTCTTATATTATATAAACAAATACTTAAACAAAAATTACCAACAACAATTTGCATAAAAACAACTTTGACAAATATGATATTTCTAATTTAATAACATCCATATATCATGACACATGTCAAAATGTCAAGGCAAATGTCACAATGACACTTATCGGTCATTTATTTCACTACAATTACAATTTAACATACTACAAAAATAAGCTTATGGCATTTTTGAATTTATGACTTTTTATATGTCATGACACATGACATAATGACATTGAGTGACCTCTGACACTAGAAAAAGACAAGAAGTAACCTGCTGTACATAGAAAATGTTTATTAGAGAGAACAAATTAAAGTTTATAGTGAAAATTTAAATTAAAAAAGTCTGTATTTATATTATAGGTAATTTATTGGTAAATATAAGATATTAACGTATATATATATATATATATATATATATATATATATATATATATTAAAAAAGGCATTTGATATTCGTACTTCTTCTAACTTGCAATATTGTATGTATGTTACGATGTAATTATTTTTTATTATTATTAAATAATTAATTATTAAATAAATATAAATAAATTATATTATAAATATTATTATTATATAGGACAGTGATGCGTATAGTTATTAATAATAATAAATAAATATTGAAAAAAATAAATAATTAAAAATTAATACAAAATTATGAACTTTTATTTCGGTAGTTAGAATGTTCATCCACAGATCACTTGAATTTTGAGATTTTTTTTTGGTTTTTTGGGTTTAGCTGGGAAAGTATGCAAGTAAATAGATTTTGTTGTTTAGGAGATGTTTAGAGGATTAAATTTGTAATAAGTTGGTCTCAGGCTGTGATGTACGTCAATGTTTTGTTAACAAAAGTTTCATTTGAAGTCTGTGCTGGTTTAGTCAGATAACTCGTATGTTGTACATTTTTTTAGGTTTTTGCAAAAATTGGAGAATGCAAATATTTGCAAAACTTGCAAAATATTGGAGATATTGAAATTTAGTCTACAGATGTTTTTTAGGAATTGAAATTAGCTATAAGTTTGTCTCAGGATGAAGTGATGTACGGATTTTTTTTGTTAACAAAAATTTTATTTAAAGCTTGGGCTGGCTTGGTCTGACTCGTATGTACTTTCTAAGGGTAGTATCTTTTTTAAGTGTTTTGGTTATAACTTGCAAAATATTGGAGGTATTGGAGTTTAGTCTTCGTATATTATTTTGAGATTGAAATTTGCTATAAGTTTGTCTCAGGTTGAAATGATGTACGGTGTATTTTCATTAATTAAAGTTTTACTCAAAAACAGTATTAGTTTCGTTTATGCTCTCTATAATGGTAGTGCATTTTTTATTTAGTGTTCCGGGTACAACTTGCAAAATATTACAGTTATCGGATTTTAGCCTTCAAAATATTGTAAGGGGTAAAAAATATTGTAAATTTTTCAAGCTATATTTTGTTAAAAACATGTTTTGATTTATTTTTAATAGTTTAGATTTTACAGCGATTATAAAAATAAACCAGTTTGTTCAAATGCGAATTAAAAAATACAAAATGTTGTCGTTTCAAGATGACTTGTATGACAGAGTTTTAGATAATTTAGTTATCTAAAACTTTATCAAATACCATAATTTATTATCTTGTATCTATAAAAAGTTATCTTACAAAATCTCCAAAAATGCAAAGTTTTGTACTATGTTCCCATATGTCCCTCACTACGGCCCATTGAACCCATTCACGACCTAAAATATGACCTAAAAACAAGATTTTCAAATTAATTGATTCAATTGGATGTAATATGTAATTATTTTGCAAAAATATCGTGTTTTGTAACGATTTTGCATGTTTAATCGTGAAATCGTTATCGGACACGCTATTTTTATTGACATACAAATCTTAAACCATAAAAAACTAATAAGACTATTATATAAAATGCTTTTTAGTTATAAATAATTGGTACATAACATTTAATAGTCAATTGCTGCAATTTGTGTTTAATAACAATGAAATTAAATAGAATTAATAAATTTTACATTAAAAAAAAATAAGATATTATAAAATAATCCCACATTACATCAAATTATTTTAAAAATTGTTTTTTTTTTGATAAAATAGTTTAATTGAATTAATTTATTTAAAAATAATAATTTATTTTGATAAAATAGTACTGTAGGTTTTTCTAGATTAGTTTTAGGTCGAGAATGGGTTAATGCAGGTCCTAATTGGAACCAAGACATAATGTTGTGTGTTTTCACAGTTTTTGTAAAATAACTTACAGGTACAAGATAATAAATTATTGTATTTGACAAAGTTTTAAATAACTAAATTATCTAAAACTTTGTCAAGCAATTCATCTTGGTTTGACGACGTTTTATATTTTTAATTTGCATTTGAATTTTGTATTTTAGAATTTTCAATAGTAAATGCAATTTGTAGTGAGTTCCTATAGTTACATTGGAGTAGGAAAAAGTAGAAACAATTATTATAAATAATTTAAACTAATGTCCATTTTGACATGACATGTGTCAATCAAAATGACACATGTCACTTCAGACTGTTTTATGATAATTTAATCAAATGACAAAACAGATTTTTTTTAAAACATTTTAAAGTGAATTATAAAAGTATAACTGTGTACTTCCTCCTTCCTCATTAATTGTAGTTCAAATAATTTTAAAAAATATAAAACGAAGTTTTATCAAAATCTTGTGTATGAAACAGTTATTGGAAATTTATTTATCTTTACAATAGTGGAAACTAGATAATTTTATCTATTTTTGTTTAAAATACAATGGGAATTATCTAGGACTAATGTATTGATGATATTTGTGGGGATGTTTTTGCATTATTTTGGCAATAACTTCTAAAATAT